TTTAAAACGTCTATATGAGAGTTAACGGATCGCCTCAGACAATTTGGGTTTCGCGAGACGGAATTGAAAGTTTAGCAGAAATTCCTTCGACCCCTTGGAAGTCATTAAATAATTCGCACGTGGTTAGAAGGAGAACATATGTAGGTGAATTATTTTTTTTCTAAATGCATTTAGCTATATCATAACTTCGTTACTTATTGTCACGTTACTTATAAGTCACTTAATGGCAAATTGAAACTCATTTAAATAAGGCCATTAAAATCATGAGGGGAACGTTGTGCTTGACCTGAGAATGTTGCCAGTGAAGCCAGGACGTTAGACAGAGAAAAGCCCGTCATTCATCAGCTCGGGACAGTCTCTCCACACCCCCGCTTTGACACTTTTCTCTCCTCTCAGGCGCATTTAAAGTTTTCCGTCCCGCTGTTAATATGCCGTGAAAGCTGATTCTACCGCTATTCACACCATGTCAAGCAGCTAATCTCCTTTTCTCCGTTTTGTCAGAAATTCCTGGGCCATTTAAAGAAGGTTCTCGTTTCTTTCAGCGCACATTTAGTGCTACAAAGTTTCTGAAAGGATAATGAATACGGAATAAGTTGTTTCTTGCCTATGAATAGCCTCGTCACATTTAAAGCGTAGAAAATTGCTGAATTCTGTGTTTGACATTTATTTGAGTCTCGCCTGAGAGCCGCATTTGAATGATTGCGCATTCCTTTATATTGGCCTATAGCCTAATATAGTTTTACAATACAAACGATTTTTTAAAAATAAGAATATAAATAGAATATTAAAAAATTAGAATATAAAAAAAGCATTTTGTAGGCTACTAAATTTACACTATAACCCATATTTCTTTCAAATTATTCTTTCTTTTGCTACGAACTTGCAAACAGGTTGCGTCATTGCAATTCAAGTTTTGTTTTATTGTATATGTGTCCTGGTTTTTATTAGTTATCTAATCTAAATGTTCAAAATTAACTTCCTACTTTATTTGCCGCTTTCTATCTTCAGAGGTCCAGAAACTCTCCAGCTTAGTGCTGCCAAGTGAAGTCATCATTGCGCAGAGCTCGATCCCTGGAGAAGGACTTGGCATCTTCTCCAAAACCTGGATAAAAGCTGGCACCGAGATGGGACCCTTCACAGGCAGGGTCATTTCACCCGAGCATGTGGATCTCTTCAAGAACAACAATCTCATGTGGGAGGTAGGCAGCGTTCAACAGGTGTCACATGCATGTGCTCGTTTATTTGAAATTTATTCTACTAAAATATCCCAAGTCAGAGACTGATGGCAAGCGTTTTTTGTTGTTCTCAGGTTTTCAATGAAGATGGTACGGTGCGCTATTTCATCGATGCCAGTCAAGAGGATCATCGCAGCTGGATGACTTACATCAAATGCGCGCGCAATGAGCAAGAACAGAACCTGGAGGTTGTGCAGATCGGAAGCAGCATATTTTACAAAGCAGTTGAGGTTCGTTATATACTTTTTTTTCATAATTTGAAATGAATAATATTTGTTTATAATAATAATTTTCTTTACGTCGATGTTCTTACACTGTGCAATATTTTTCCATCTTAGATTCCAACTAAAATTTATTTTTCATAATTTCGACATGACTGAGTTTTTAGAATTTCAACTAGATTTTCTTAAGTAATTAAACTTGGAAAAGTTAAAATTTATTTAAATATTTGAATAGTGTTTTATATAGGCTATGTAAGTGTGTGTGTGTGTGTGTGCATATATAAGTGCTTTTATAAGTGTATATAAGTGTTTTAAATAAATCATTTTTTTTCCATTAACAGACAATACCACCAGACCAAGAACTGCTTGTGTGGTATGGGAATTCCCACAACACCTTCCTGGGTATCCCGGGAGTCCCTGGCATAGAGGATGAACAGCAGAAAACTAAGACTAAAAATGGTGAGTAATTCAGTGGCTATAGGGCTTTGGGTGAGTTTCAGTCTAAGAAAAGACTGATCTCACAGCTCAATAGCTTTAGTTAAAACTCCATTAGCATCTGATTTTTAAAGTACCTGACCTTTTAGCTTCTGTCTTCTGACCGAGCTCTATCCTCTCCCCACAGATGATTTCCACCTGTGCGACACCTCCTCTGCTGCCTCTCTCGCCGCCGCCAGCCGCATGCGCTGCGTCATCTGCCACCGCGGCTTCAACTCCCGCAGTAACCTGCGCTCCCACATGCGTATACACACACTGGACAAGCCCTTCGTCTGCCGTTTCTGCAACCGTCGCTTCAGCCAGTCATCCACTCTCCGTAACCATGTGCGCCTCCACACAGGAGAGCGCCCCTACAAGTGCCACGTCTGCCAGAGCGCATACTCCCAGTTGGCAGGGCTGAGGGCGCACCAAAAGAGCGCCAGGCACCGGCCGGCCAACACAGGGTCTGTAGTGGGCCTGCAGACCCACTCACCCCCACCTCCACCTCCTCAGATGGCACAGGTTCCTCACCCGGTCTCCCTGGTGCATCACATTCCTACCATGGTGCTATGAGATGCATGAAGCATCTCAGATGTTTGCAATCTCACAGGCTGTTCTTCAGTGCAGAAGTATGTCTATGCCAAGCAGGCCCTGAGTACTCTCACCTTTAGTGGATGCTTTGTAGTTCCTTAGAGGTGAAGAAGTGGTCAGATATGATGAACGACCCCTGCAGAACTCTGAAGTGAAAGCACTGAAGTGAAAACAATGGCCATGGAAGGGCTGTTTCGTATGTTCATGTTGAATTCTTACCATTGCCAGAACTACACGCACTGATGGCTCTAGTGCATATGTTCCGGCAGATAACTGCCACATTATATCTGATCAGACATTGTCATTTATGTTGATCGGTAGTCAGTGTATATTTTATTCATTTCTGCATGCAAATAGTATTGTTTTGTCCCATTCAACTAAGGATAAAGCCCCATCACCCGATTCGCTTTAGACACTATAATGGATCCACTGGGATCAAGCACCACTTAGTGACCGATTTGTGTCACTGCAGTCCAATCAGAGCATGTTTATTGTGAATGAACAATATGAAGTATGTAAAGGAATGTACATATGATTTGAAGATTTACTTCCAAAAACAAGGAATAGTCACTTTATCTGTGTATGTATGTAAAGCTTAAAGTATTATTACAAAACTTGGTTCTATTATATTATGTATACTATGTTTGCTTATATAAAATTATTTGGGTATTCACTTGTATGCTCAATAAATAATTATCAAATAATCCCATATTTTTGTCACTTTTTATTGATTAATAGTGCTACCATAAAAAATCTACAGGAGGGCTGTGACCTTCTTTTTTTGTGGTTCAACAACTCATTGAGCAACCAGAGTCAGACTGATGTCCAGATGTTACCAGAATTGCACAATAACAAAACATCTCTTGAAAAGCAAACATCTGAAATCCCTTTTTAGCAGTAGCTAAACAGAGATTGTTTACCTCTACTTGTAACTTGCACAATGACTGAGCAAACTCTACATCGATATGAGCGTTGCACAATCAATCGTTAAAACTTTTCTACCAGAACAGTGAAACATTTTCTAGTCATCATATTTGGACAATAGCTATTCTTTCTAAACTAGAGCTAAAAAAAATATTTCAATTACCTCTTACATTTTACCTCTAATTACAAATTACCTCTTTCAAAAGACAGTTGAGTTAATAAGTAGGCTAACTGATAAGTAACCAGATATTGATTTGGATGACAATAAAAACTAGCAAATGCCTGACCTCTTTTTTCTTTAAGGCGAGACACTACAGGTGAATAGGGTAATTTTTTTAACTAGCAGATATCACCATGAAACTTTCCCAGTTGATTACCTACATTAAGATGAGAAAAAAATGTATTACAAGTTTTCTGTAATTTAATGTTTAAATATGCAAATTAGGCATTGTCTAATTAAATATGCACAAATTTGCATATATTTCAAAAAATGAAATCTGAGTATTGGATAAAGCCAGGTTCAAAATTATTTTTTCATTGTGTTCACATATTAGATGGGAAAAAAATTACAGAGGGATTTATGGATATCTACTTTTGTTATCCTGTAAATCAGAATATACTGTCAATAGCCTTAAAAAAATGATTTTTGCCATGTTTTTTGGAATAAAATGTTATATAAATCGGGCTAGGAATAATATATTTACAAATCCCTCTGTAAATGTCTTCATAATATAACTAGGTACAAGACTGGAAAGTTTGGTGTATATAGGTGCTACCGAAGTGGAGATTTCGGACTTTGAGTATGAGAGAAAGGTCATTTTGAGAAAACGGGCTTTAAAGATTTAGCATCAGCCAATGAGATTGCGCATTTGCGCCCTTTTACTTTCACGATTGGTTGCTGATAAAAAGGAAATGACCATATTTGGATTCGACAACATTGTACAGGAGAGAGAGAGCTTTCTAACAGTGTGTGTGATGACAGGGTGCAGATCGCGATAGCGGAGCAACGGATGATTTACAACGCCAACTTTTGATGAATTTATGAGAAATCTACAGACGCAAACAGACAAAGTGTAGTAAAATAAAGACCTAAATGTGTATTTCAGACTTTTTTTCACCACAAGTCTGAAAGAAGACATGTTTTTGAAGACAAATATCCCGAAATCTCAAAATTGACCAGTGAAAAAAAAACGAAGTTTTTGCCTGCCGTGTCTCGCCTTAAGGAGCAAACTGTCTATAATGGCACGTTTATTTTTGTTCTGTATAGGCCTACTTCATCTCTTCGTCTGCATTACAGTTCAGGAAAATGTGTAAGTTACAATTTACATCTTTTAAAAATTCTACAGTACAGGAATGGTAGCCTACTGGACTGTGTTGTCAAAGCAGCACTGTAAACTAAATGGGAAAACTCCCTAACATCAAGAAAAGCATAGCTGTGTGAGATTGGGAGCGAGTTATCCCTCATGTTTGTCTGAAATTAGGCATTCATGTTTTATATAAACTTATGTTTTTCGCATCTGCCACTGAAACAGACCGATGTTGTCTTGTTTTACAGATACTTAATCACTGCACCTAAAACCCTGCGTCTCGATGCTTCAGAAAATGTTGTGGTGCAGTTGTTTGGTTATGACCAGGAAATTATAGTAAATCTTTACCTGAAGAACACACTGGCACCAGGTTATAAAGAATATGCATCTCAGTCCCTGAAGCTCAACGCCGCGAATAACTATCAAGCTTCGGCTACTTTACGGGTAAGACTGCAAAGTTAAAGGACTTTAGAAGATAGTTTTTGTTTGAAATGTTTCACTTAGGCTAAATGTGTTATTATTCACAATTCCGAAACATATGGAAAGTTTTAATAAGCAAAATAGATGTTTTTATGAATGATATTCTGCCGGTAAAATAGGCCTATACCGCCCTTTTCTTTTTCCCAGATCATGCCTATAGATTTCCCAAACGCGGACAGATATGTCTACCTCCAGGCGATTTCCTCTGCTTTCACTGCATTTGAAAAAATCCCTGTTACTCCTGTCAACGGGTTTCTCTTTATTCAGACTGACAAGCCGCTATACACACCCGAACAAGAGGGTCAGTATGATACGAATCTCTCTTGCGTGTTTGAGCGAGAGTTTAAGTATGGAGAGAAATATGCTGTGAGTAAATGAAAGAGACAATCACTTCAAAACCATCTTTTGAACCTATTTGCTTTCTTAGTACAAGTGCGTGTTTACTCCCTCAACGAGGAGCTGAGGAAATCTAGACGGACCGTCACCCTTACATTCGTGGTGAGTTTCTCTCTTCACAGTGGGGACGGTTGCAACACGGCTTATTTGAGCTAGAGAGTTCATATTATATTATTGACATTCATATTATTACATATGTAATATAACATGTGGCCTACACAGTTTTTTAATTTCAAGTTAAAAAGTATTTTTTTTTTCATACTGTCTGTTTGCGTGAAGCATTATAAAGTCATATCATTTTTATCAGTGTTTTCTTAGCTTCTAAAAGGCATAGCTAGCATGTGTCAAAAAGCTATTGTGTCAAGCTAACATAGCCCGTTTTATCCTGGCTGTCAGTAGGGACAGTTGCAAGCCTTATCACAACATTGATGTAAAACCTTGTCATAACATAACACATTTATAATTTTATGTATTAATAAAGAAACCCCTGTTAATAGTCAGGTATCTTCCCTTTTTTATTGAAGTAAACAGTTTTTATTTAAGTAAAAAATCAGACTAGGCATACATTTGATCTGTGTGCCACAAGAGATGAAATGCACAACAGATAGGGGTGTCCCTCTGTTCTGATGTCAGTGAAGCATGAAGGCAGGACACTGAGGTCTGAGGCAAAAGACTGTGCAATTTGCCACATAACCTTGCAAGAATATAGAAATATATTGTAACATTCACTTAAACACACACAGTCCTGTAAGTTTTCACAAAGGTTCATAAGTATTATTAAAATTCTATTGATTTTGATTTAAGAAAATTATTTTTTAGTACAAATTTATTGTAATAATTGACCAAAACCTGGTTGTTACTTGAAAATGTTTTGTTTTCCCTTTTACTCTTTGTACAGTCAATTTAACTTAGTGAAAATCCTGTCTGTTAAAGAATGATTTTATTACATTTTAATGAATGTTGCAACTGCCCCTGTGAACTGCTGCAACCGTTATTTGACTTTGCAACATTGACTTTGTCTATTCAAGTATAAATTGTACATATATTATCATATGTACACATGTTGTAGCAGTGTGAGTTGCTGACATATTTTGGCTTTCCAAATACAAGCAGTCTGAGAAACACAAGGAAATGCAAAAAGTGTTGCAACTATCCCCACTCTCCCCTGCTTCGCATGAATTATGATTTTTTCTGTGTGAACCTTGTTAATGTTTTCAATTAATTTTAGGACCCTGATGGTATCAAGGTAGAGATTATTGATATGGCAGACATCAATGGAGCAAAACCACTTCTTCCACCATTCAAAATACCTTTAAAGCCGACGTAAGACCAATTAAGTCTATTATAATTAGGCTGTTTAAATGATCTGATGTTTAAATTATTATTTGGAATAATAGTGATATTCTGCTGAAGACTAGCTAACTGGACTGTATTGTACTGTACTATACTGTACTGTACTGTAAAAAACCTCATCAACCAGGTGATGTTTGTTAAGAAAGGAAGTTTTACTGGTTAAGATAATTATAAGCCTGCATGCAGTGTTTTCATTCGTTTTTTGTTTTTTTTTCACTCTGCATCATTTTTTTATTCACAACGCAAATCTCATCAGTTATGGAATATGGAAAATTGAGGCCACCTATGCCGACACTTTTAAAACAACTGCCACTGCTGAGTTTGAGGTCAAAGAATACGGTAAGACCAACATTTCAGGTGTTATGTAGACATTTAGAGTTCATGAAATCTGAAATCAAGGTATGTTTCTCAGTGCTGCCCAGTATTTCAATCCACATTGAGCCTGAATCCAACTATATCAGCGAAGAGAACTTTGAGTCTTTCCAGCTGAAGATTTCAGCCAAGTATGTTTTTCCTTTTTTATTTCACATTATATACATTACCGTTTAAAAGTTTAGGGTCAGTATTGTTTTTATATTGCTAGTTATTTTAAGGAAATTAATAATTGTGTTTAGCAAGGATGCATTAAATTGATCAAAAGTGATAGTAAAGACTGTTTTGCATTGTTACAAGAAATTAATGTTTCAAATAAATGGTGTTCTTTTGAACTTTCTGTTAATCAAAGAATATTAAAAAAGATCACCTTTTCCACAAAAAATATTAAGCAGGACAACTGTTTTGAACATTGATAATAACAAGAGATGTTTCTTGCGCAGTAAATCAGAATATTATTGAAGGATTATTATTCTGATGGATCCTGTGACACTGAAGACTGTAATATCTGCTGAAAATTCAGCTTTGCCATCACAGGAATACATTACATATTTAAAAAATATTAAAATATAGTAGTAATATTTCACAATATTAATGTTTTACTGTATTTTTGATCATATAAATACAGCCTTGGTGAGCATAAGAGTCTTTCGAAAACATCAAAAAAATCTTACCAACCCCAAACTTTTAAAACTGTATATTCAGTTCAGTTGCTGACAATTCATATATTTGCACTTAAATGTTTAAATATGTGTATATTTGTGCTGACAGGTATGTCCATGGAACTCCAGTTAGTTTGGCGGATATGTTCTTGATGTTTGGATACAGTTCTCCAGAAGAAACCGTCATGATACCAGCAACATATACAAGATATATGGTAAAGTCAGTGTTCCAGTCAACTAAACATCATTTAATGATTAATTGCAGAGGATATATTTGTTTTTGGCTTTTGTTATAGCTGATAAATGGAAAGGAAGAAGTCAACTTAAACATCAAGACAGCTTTGTCATCCATGCCCAATGGGCCTCAACGTCTGAGTGACATGAAAGAAAACAGCTTTCTTCGTGTGACAGTTTTACTGCAAGAGACAACTGGTAGGTCTAGTTAGTTTCACCAAAACAGGAGTGCATTATCCTGAATCAAAATATCAAGCAAACCAGTTTGACACCTCTTCATTGTCAGGTGGTATCTCCCAGGAGGCAGAGCTCTCAAGTGTAAAATTTGTAGAAACTCCGTTTACCCTGAGTCTGAGCGCAACCCCTCCTTTCATAAAACCGGGTCTACCATACGGCATGAGAGTAAGAAACCTGTCTCCTCAAGTAGATTTATGGTATTTGAACAAGCATAAATATATGTTTCATCCATCTGAATATTTTGGGGACCCATAGGTCTTGGTGAAGGATCCTTTGGGTAAACCAGTGAAAGGTGTGTCAGTCAAGATAAGGGCAACAATAACTACAGCTGACAATGAACTGGAGGACTTCAAATTTTTAGGGCACCAGGATACAATGACAGTGATGAGTCGGGGAGATGGAATTGCTTACTTCATCTGTAACATACCTGATAAAGTGAAAGAAGCTGAATTCACTGTGAGTAAAACTGTGGCCAAGAGTAGGTTAAAATTACAGAGACAACTGTTTAATCATTTAATTATTTATTTAGAATTATAATATGATATACAGGTGAAACTCGAAAAATTAGAATATCGTGCAAAAGTTCATTTATTTCAGTAATTCAACTTAAAATGTGAAACTAATATACATCATTACATGCAAAGTAAGATGTTTCAAGCCTTTATTTGTTATAATTTTGATGATTATGGCTTACAGCTTGTGAAAACCCCAAATTCTAAATTAGAATATTGTGAAAAGTTTTCATAAGCTGTAAAACATAATCATCAAAATTATAACAAATAAAGGCTTGACATATCTCACTTTGCATGTAATGAGTCTATATAATATTAGTTTCACCTTTTAAGTTGAATTACTGAAATAAATTAACTTTTGCACGATATTCTAATTTTTCGAGGTTCACATGCTAAATGCACATTGATATTGTACTCATTTCAGTTTGAGACAGAAGATCCACGTTGGAGTCAGGCTCCACTCAAACTAAAGGCTGAATCATATATTTCTGTCAATCATCGTTACCTGTACATCGATTTACATCCTGACTCCTCGGTAGTTGAAGTTGGACGGTACATTAACATCGATGTTTTCTTTCATTATCGTGACTACCTTTCTCTGAAGACTTTCAGCTACCAGGTAAAATAATAATTATATATATATATATATATATATATATATTGGGTCATCTGAATGATCCACTGTTGTCACTACAGATTTCAACTGTATCTAATTTTTCTCTTATGTGACAACATATTTAGATATTATTTTGAGGCTCACATTTGTTTCTCTAAAACATTTTTTAAACATATTTCTCTAATTATTTTTAAACAGTTTTTTTTTCATTGCTGTTATGTAAAGACAGTTCAAAAGTTTGGGGTCAGTGAAATTTCTTGATGTTTTTAAAAGAAGTATCTAATGCTCAACAAGACTACATTTATTTGATCAAAAATAGATCAAAACAGTAATATTGTAAAATATTATTACAACTCTTTTCTATTTTAATGTTTTAAAATGTAATTTATTCCTGTGATGGCAAAGATGTATTTTTGCTAGTCGTCAGTGTCACATGATCCTTCAGAAATCATTCTAAAATGCTGATTTGCTACTTATGAAACATTTCTTATTATTGAAGACAGTTGTGCTGCTTAATAGATGTGATTTTTTTCAGTAGTCGATGAATAGAAAGAAAAGTATTTATTTCAAACAGAAATCTTTTGTATCATCATAAATATCTACACTGTCACTTTTAATATAAGCAATCATTTCTTGCAGAAAAAAAATCATACTGACTCTTTGACTCAATGACAATCTTTTGAACAGTAGACATAATAGATATTATGTACTTGTAAGGATCCACTGGAGGCAAGTTGTAGCGAGAGAACCCAAGTGCAGTTTATTCAAAATAACACATAACAAGATCAAAACATAAAACAAAGCATGACGTGGCATGAAACAAAAAACGTGGACATAGACTTACTCAGTGGTCACAGGAAACAATACTTGACAAAGACACATGGCAAACATGAGGGCTTAAATACACAAGACTAATGACAAGACAAGGGACACCTGTGAACAATGAACAGACTATTATCCAATGACAAGACACATGGCAAGATCACATGACAAACAGGGAATCACATGACAGACATGGAACATGACATGAACAAACCAAAACGTGACAGTACTAAACAATTTTTTTTATAGCTACTTAATAATTAGCTACTTGTAATTTTGTTGTGGAGTAGCCTATAATTATGTATTGCTTATGAATTAATTGACTAATTTAATGTACAGTACCTGTCAAAAGTTTGGACAAATTTAAATATTTTATGTTTTTGAAAGGAGTTATACCAAGGCTGCATTTATTTAATAAAAAAATACAGTAAAAACAGTAATACTGTGGAAATATTATTACAAATAAAAATAACTGTTTTCTATTTTAATATCTTTTAATGTAAATTATTCCTGTGTTGGCAAAGCTGAATTTTCAGCATCATTACATCATTACAGTTTTCAGTGTCACATGATCCTTCAGAAATTCTTTCAGGATTCTTTGATGAATAGAAAGTTCAATGAAAAGCATTTATTTGCATTATTAAATTTATTTATTAACTTTATTCAAGCATTTATTAAATAGAAATATTTTATAACATTATAAATGTCTTCACTGTCACTTTTGATCTATTTAATGCATCCTTGATGAATACAAGTATTCATTTCTCTCTCTTTTTTATTCTTACCAAAAAATCTTTGAATGGGATCATGGTTTCCACAAAATGTTAAGCAGAAAAAAATTGTTTTCAACATTGATAATAATAATAATCATAATAATATACGTTTCTTGCAGAAAATCAGCATGATTTCTGAAGGATCATGTGACACTATAGACTGGAGTAATGATGCTGAAAATTCAACTTTGCATCACAGGAATAAATTACATTAATATTTCCCAATATTACTGGTTATACTGTATTTTTGATTAAATAAATGCAGCCTTGGTAAGCATAAGAGGCTTTGTTCAAAAACATTAAAAACATTTAATGTTCAGTTCCCAAACTTTTGACAGATACTGTAACATATTATACATTACATTATATTTGTAAGTATTTTAAATGGTATCCTACGGAGCCCCACTAGTCCCACTTTGTCAAGAAAATGTATTATAACTATCTCGTGGCCTCAAGATAAGTAACTCATGGCCTCAAGATAGTAACTCGTGGCCTCAAGATACTATCTCGTGGCCTCAAGATAGTAACTCGTGGCCTCAAGATACTATTTTGTGGCCTCAAGATAGTAACTCGTGGCCTCGAGATACTATCTTGAGGCCACGAGATACTATCTTGAGGCCACAAGATACTATCTTGAGGCCACGAGTTACTATCTCGAGGCCACGAGTTACTATCTTGAGGCCACGAGATAGTATCTTGAGGCCACGAGTTACTATCTTAAGGCCACGAGTTACTATCTTGAGGCCACGAGATAGTATCTTGAGGCCACGAGTTACTATCTTGAGGCCACGAGTTACTATCTTGAGGCCACGAGATAGTATCTTGAGGCCACGAGTTACTATCTTGAGGCCACGAGTTACTTATCTTGAGGCCATGAGATAGTTATAATAATTTTTTTTTGACAAAGTGGGACTAGGGGGGCTCCATAGTATCCATCTTAATGCATTATAAGTATTTTTTTTTTTAGATTATTTCCAGAGGAAAAGTTGTGAATTTTGCCACAGTTAAGCGTGTCAGTGAAAAGAGACAGAGCCTTAACATTAAGATCACCTCTGACATGGTGCCGTCTGCTCGGCTTCTGGTGTACTACGTCCTGCATGGAGAGGAAAAAGCGGAACTGGTGGCAGACTCTGCGTGGATTGATGTGAAGGCTAAATGTGTTAACAATTTAAATGTAATGCCTTTTTATCTGTCATCAATATTTGTGATGTGTTTTATGTTATTTATGAATAGTGAAATCATGACTTCATTGGAATATATTCCAGGTGGACATATCAACTCTCAACTCACAGTATAAACCCAAAGATAAACTTGAATTAAGAGTGTCAACTAAAACTAAAGAGGAGTCACTCGTGGCTTTTTCTGCTGTAGATACGGCCTTGTACAACCTAAAATCTAACGACAAAGACCCTCTAAAAAAGGTAAAATAGCAGACTTGTTCAAAAAGATGGTCTATATGGTCAGCTTTTTTATGTTTTTTTTTTTGTGCTTTTAAAGACACAAACTTATCTTAAATTAAGGTGATGATAAAAATGAGTGATGATATGTGTTGTTTCTATTGTTGCAGGTGCTACAACATGTTGAGCGAAGTGACTTGGGTTGTGGAAGAGGAGGAGGCAAAAATAATGCTGATGTGTTGGACCGTGCTGGCCTTATGTTCATCACCAACTCAAACGCCAAGGCCCCTAGTGCAGGTACATGCTCACGTGTAAAGTTAATGAGCGAGTGTGACTCATTACATTAAAACATCTCAATAGAGGACGTGATAATTTGCTGAAACACTGGCAAATGTATTTTCTTTTCTTCTTTTTTTTAGGGGGGGCCTGCTCAGACATAGTTAGGCAAAAACGTTCACCTGTACTGGGGCAAAGTTTTGAAGCAAAGGGTCTGTATGCAAGCATTTTGTTTAAAAACTAACAGTATGCGCTAATAACGTCTCGATTACGTATGTAACCCTCGTTCCCTGAAGGAGGGAACGGAGATGTAGTCGACGTGTCGACTGATTGGGATTACGCTTAGAGAGCCTGTCATTTTCGAGTACTATTAAAACGAGCCAATGGAATTGGCGTGCGTGACTTGGATCACACACTCCACCCCCGCGGCGCGGGTATAAATACGGAAGTGGATGCACGCACTAGTTGTTTTTCGCAGAGGAGCCGAGCGTAATTCGGAGTCAGCGGTGGTCCAGCAATAGTGGTGACGGGACTACGTCTCCGTTCCCTCCTTCAGGGAACGAGGGTTACTAACGTAACCGAGACGTTCACTTTCAGTCGCTCACGTTCGACGTAGTCGACGTGTCGTCTGATTGGGATCCCAATTAAAACGCCATCTAGTGCTGCCACCTTCCAGTGCCTAGACAAAAGCCTCCAGATCCCCCCGCAATTTAAGGCGGGGAAGGGACAGAGCTTAGGCCAGGGAAGTCACTGCTGTTCCTACAGAACGACTGGGAAAACGTTCCCTGTACATGGAAGGAAGGGACGCTGCGAAAGCCACATCCTGCCCGAAGGGAGGTAACATGTGGAGAATACACATATGAACTGGGCGGATGACCGGGCAGTACATCATATGGAATGTCACTGGGGTGGCTCCAGCCTAAGACAGGGGGGAGACTCAACCGGACAGTGACGGCAGAGCAGGCTCTTCCGAGGGAAGACACGGGCTCGCCGCAGGGAGCAGATCCATGGAAGAATACACATATGGGACCGCCGTAGGGATCACAGCATATGGACCCAGCCTAACACAGGTTCCACAGTGCATACGAGTGACAGGCCTGGCTTCGGACGTTTCGCCCACGTCCGTTGCCGAAGGGTATGGAGGAACTCGACAGGATTCGGCTAAAAAGGGGAACTCAACTGGAGCAAGAATTGCACTCGTATCCAGGCCATAGTAGGGGAATGGCCCAGCACGCCGACACAACTGTAAGCCGGCTTACAGTGAAACTGGCTTCAAGTGAAGGGAGCCCACGGGAAGCAGCGGTTCGACACATAGGCTATTTTTCTAGCGAACGTGATGGGTGTCGCCCAGCCCCTAACTCTATTAACGTCTGTTGAGCGAGGCACTCTGTGTCAATGCCTAGGAAGGGGTGAGCACGTGCACCTTGGGAAAACTTTCTTACCAAGATGAACGCAACCACATGTAGTGGGCATCATGATGTGCGTCAAGAAAACAGAGGCAGCACCATCTATTGAGGGTGAAGGAACAGTCTACTCCAAACCATCTTGCAGGAAAGAGAGCACTGAAATGACCGAGCGCTCACAGCATCTCCTCACGGAGAGAAGACTCATTCAACGAGAAGACTCGTTCCACTTCTAATTAGCGAAGCACAACTTCCTCCTTTTAGGAAAATCACTGAACTTGAGCAGGCAACAATGAATCGCGTAGCCGCTTTCTTAGAAGGCTCACTATGGAACGCATTTCTGCGGAGCCCCGGGGTCAGCTGAGAGCCAGTGTCTGTCCAAGAGTTGTCCACTCAGACAGAAACACAACTGGCAAAGGGACGAGTCCGGAGAGGCAAACAGATGTAACTGTGCGGCCCCGAAATGGTCCCTACCCAGCTGGACCGTCAAGGGATGGAGTCTCCACTCTCCCTGGCCATAGCTGTCGTGAGGCTCGTCGGTGGCACGATTCAGCAGGCCAGAAGAAATAGTGGAATGAAGCGACCTCAGAAGCTTCTGACTCCAAGGAGGAGGTGACGGGCGAGTTGTGACATGCGAGGGAAGCTTAGCGCAACGGTCGCGATGTTGTATTTTCAGACCAGTACCAGCTCGCTGAGCAGCGGTGGCTCAAAGCGAGGTGAACTGCCAACTCGAGGTAATGAATACCAATGCAGTCGGAGGTTGCCCAGGCCTCCATTAAAGCATGCCCTTTGTACATGGCCCCTCAGTCGGTGTTAGTGGACCTCATTCTAGGAGCGGTTTGGCCCGGAAAAACGAAGGGTCTGAACACGGGCTGAGGGTTTGGCGGCAGGCCAGGGTGATCTTTTTGTCACACAGGGCATGCCGCTCTACCACGGTCACCTCGGGACTCGATCATAAAGCAAGTGCTGAAGCGGTCTTCACATGGAGGAAGCCATAGCGGCTGCGTCTGCCATATGCCCCAGGAGCCTCTGAAAGTTATTTCAGTGGGACCCTTTCTCACTTCTAGCACCAGCCGAACACACTCTTCTTGAAGAGACGTGTTGGACCGAGTCCTTCTCCTGAACTGAAAAAGAGATACTCAGCCCGTGGGCGAGATTACTCTCTCCCAGTTGTCAGCTAGCGAACAAGAGGGAGCTGAAGGGTGCAAGGTTTTGCAGGGTCACACACCGCCAACTAGCCCTCTTGGGTCCCAGGAAGGGAGAAATTGCTCTTTCTTTGAAAATGTGGGTGCCGCTGGCTCCGCTTTTATGGGAACCAACAGCAGAACAACACCCACACAAAAAATAAAAACTTCACTCGGTCCTCTTACGAGTGAAGGGAGTGGCCGGTGACCATCTCCAAGAGCATTTCCTCCATCCCTGGGTGGCCCGCCTCAGGTTTAACGCTTTCGCTGTCGCTTGCCACCTGGCTTGGCAGCGCCTGAAGCAGACGGGGCGCCCCTTCTGCGGCCGGCTCCAAGCTGAGACCTGGGTGGAGGCCGTTGCGACGGAGACGAGGATCCCCCTTCCATGAGGTAGCGGTCGCTGGACACAGCTGCATTGCAACAGACCGCTCCACTGGAGGGATAGCCTCGTAACCCTTCACCATTCCCCCGTCAAGGGTAGTGAGGGGGGAGGAGCTACTCAGGCAATTTCTGGCAGAGAAAGGTGCCATCCATGCCCTCGTCAACTCCTCATGCACTTCAGGAAAGAAAGATACCGGAGCGGCGGGCTGAGAACCAGACTGGCCCGCACCGATAAACTAATCATCCAACCGAGATGGTTCGTGGAGGGTCCCACTCGAGCCATACCGCCTCGGCGGCCTTCTTGAGCATATCTGCCATCTCTGGATCCGGCTCGGGCAACGCTGGTCTCCCAGAGGGAGGCAGCGCAGCCGAGTCATCATCTCTAGAGCCCAGCTCCCCGTCCGATGCTGCAATGGACATCCTGTCCTCTGGAGGACAGGATGCGATCCGCAGGACATCCTGTCCTGCGGATTGCAAAAGCTGCTTCCAAATCATCAGTTCTCATTCTACTGGACCTGTCTGCTGCCTTCGACACTGTGAATCATCAGATCCTCTTGTCCGCCCTCTCATCACTGGGCATCACTGGAACCTCCCTCAACTGGTTTGAGTCCTATCTCACAGGTACGTCCTTCAAGGTCACATGGAGAGGTGAGGTATCCAAAGCACATCAACTGACCACAGGCGTTCCTCAGGGGTCAGTTCTCGGACCGCTCCTCTTCTCCATTTACACCACATCACTGGGACCTATCATACAGGCACATGGTTTCTCTTACCATTGCTATGCTGATGACACCCAGCTCTACCTCTCATTTCAACCAGATGATCCCACAGTAGCTGTACGGATCTCAAGCTGTCTGGCGGACATCTCGGCATGGATGAAGGATCATCACCTGCAGCTCAACCTGGCAAAGACTGAGCTTCTCGTCCTCCCTGCCAATCCGTCTCTACAGCACGACCTCACTATCCAGCTAGATTCATCCTCAATCACCCCATCAAGGTCGGTCAGAAATCTTGGAGTAATCTTTGATGATCAGCTGACCTTCACAGACCACATTACAAAGACAGCTCGATTATGCAGGTTTGCTATGCACAACATCAGGAAGATCAGGCCTTTCCTAACTGAGCATGCAACACAACTTCTCGTCCAGGCCCTGGTCATTTCTAGGCTTGATTACTGCAATGCTCTTCTGGCTGGACTTCCATCATGTGCAACTAAACCTCTACAAATGATCCAGAATGCTGCAGCTCGTCTTGTCTTCAACGAGCCCAAAAGGGCCCACGTCACTCCTCTGCTCATCTCTCTGCACTGGCTACCACTCGCTGCTCGCATCAAGTTCAAGGCTTTGACGCTTGCTTACAGATTGACCACAGGTTCAGCTCCCTCCTACTTCCACTCACTACTACAAGTCTACATCCCTACCAGAAGCCTACGATCGGTCAATGAGCGACGGCTCGTGGTACCATCACAGCGGGGCACAAAATCACTCTCCAGAACATTCTCATTCACGGTTCCATGCTGGTGGAATGATCTCCCCACCCTCATCCGGAATGCAGAATCCCTGACAACATTCAAAAGACAACTGAAAACTCATCTCTTCCGGGAGCACAAAAAAAAAAAAAAAAAAAAAAAAAAAAAAAAAAATCCTTTCCTCTAAATCCTCGCTTGCCTGGATTATGCTACTCCGAGCTATGTCTGAACTTTGTATTTTGAGCACTTCTTGCGTTGCTTTTGCCTCTTCACGATGACTCGCTTGGTTTAGTCCTCAGTTGTAAGTCGCTTTGGATAAAAGCGTCTGCTAAATGACTAAATGTGTAAATGTGTAAATGTGGAGGGGCCCCGAATGAGATGGTTGGTCGGTCCACCACAGAGGGACCAGCTGTCTCATCGGGGAGCTCCACCGGGGAGGGATCCATGGGGCTTTGCCGGGCGGATTACCCCTCAATGTAATCCTCAGGTCACCCAGCCCAGACGGCACTCTAGGCCTTTTTTTGGAAGGTAACCCAGAAGAGACACTAGAGTGGGACCTGGGGATGGGGACTCCACCTTCTCGAACGAAGGCGAGTCTCGGCCTTAGCACCGAGACGGTCATATTCCCACAATGAGAACATGACTCATCCACAAGAGCTTCTTCAGCGTGCTTTAAGCCCAAACACGTGATACAACTCTCGTGACCGTCAGAGGGGGACAGAGCCCTACCGCACCCAGAAACGCACGGATGGAATGGCATCTTGAAAAAGACGCAAAACTCACCCGTGTTGCTCTTTCAGAAATGGGACCCGTCACCAGTGCCAGAGCACACAGGGAATGACCGCTGCAACACTGAATTCAGCAAACTAAAAACAGCGAAGGACTCACTTTTCCGCCCTCAACCAGCCGTCAACACAAATACAGAAATTTACTTGCTATTAAAACAGCTCAAAGCTCGCGACCACCGCTGCACTGCACTGTAGAAACCACCAGCACCGGGAGACTCTTCCAAAAGAACACTGACACACTCGCTTGTTGAAACAACAGCACTCTTCAGAGACATCAAAGACGATCGGCTCCGAAGCGAAAGACAACTAGTGTGTGCATCCACTTCCGTATTTATACCCGCGCAGCGGGGGCGGAGTGTGTGATGCAAGTCACGCACGCCAATTCCATTGGCTCGTTTTAATAGTACTCGAAGATGACAGGCTCTGTAAGCGTGATCCCAATCAGTCGACTACGTCGAACGTGAGCGACTGAAAGGGAACCTTTTTTATCACTGCAACATCGTCAAAATACATTTATGCCCACATGTTTGTTGTACAGCCCAAACGTATGGGATGTCCAAGAATTGCTGCACATCTGGGACACGCAGTAGCCCTACGCTTGAAACCTGTGGAGATCGTTCTAGGAGATTGTCTTTTTCTGCGTAAGGAATTAAGCTCTTTTAATGTGACACTTACATGAAATCAGATCTTTTTGAGTTTCGTATTATGTATTTCTCTTTGTTGTAGTGCTAATGTTACATAAATACATGATACATAAAATAAATAAAATTGACATTATCAAGTAATAAACAACATTATTAATTTAATAATAATCTTTTTTTGTGAGTTCATTTAAATGGCAGCCACATGCTTTAACATAATCCATCTGAATGAAACAAACTGGTTAATTCAGGTTGATTGGGACACTTTTTCCAAGTCTCAATGGCAAACAATTTCCCAATCACCCTGAATATATTATACTTTAACATTAGCCTGTATCTTTGCACTGTGTAAAGTATTCCTGTGAATAATTTCATCTGACAAATCTGTAGAAATCTTTCTGAGCTCTTGAAGAAAAGGTGCCAGCGTGCCTTCTTGGAATGCTGTGAATTTGCTATGAAGCTCCGTAAAGAGAATGCGGATAGAATAATTCTAAGTCGTGGAGGTATGGTTGTTACTTATGAAATCATCAACACAATGAACTTCTTGTAACTTAGATGACTAAACATGTAAAAAGACAGGATCTAAAGTTCTCCATTACGTAATGCAGCAATCGACTTTCTGCTGGATGTGATGCCATCTCAGATTAGGAGCTACTTCCCTGAGAGCTGGTTATGGGAGGAACACACCAGCAAGTAAGAAAACTTTCTGAACTACAACCTTCTGGCTAATTGATAATCTTTATAATAGAAATTTGAAAAAATATTCTTAAAATATATCCATTAGGATTGTACTATTGCTAATAAACTGATTTGAAATACATCAAAATCTACATATGAGTGAAATTCCTCTCCTTTTGTTAAATTATCCAGTTACCTTTTAATCTGTCTGTTTAAGGTCTGGGTCAGTAAGCATTACCAAAAATCTTCCAGACTCACTGACTACATGGGAGCTGAAAGCAGTTGGGGTATTCAGTGAGGGTGAGGCAACAAGCTGGATCGAAATTATGTGTTTTAGCATCACCTGGTGGCTGAAAAAGGGAATATGTGTTATATATATATATATATATATATATATAATTTAAGCTTAGGCAAAAGCTGTCTGAAAGACTAAAATAGCATACTAACATACTAACTCTTATTATCATTTCAGTAGGCTATACAGTATGCAGATTTTCTATATCCATGGATTACCTGAATTACCTACTATTTAACTATGAATTACAGTAGCATTCTACCTTTAAAGGGATAGTCCACCGAAAAATTTAAATTCTGTTATCATTTAGCACCCGTCGTCAGGACCTGATTTACCTGAAATTATGATTACATTTTTTGGAATATTCTGACCATAGGCGTGAGCTTCACAAGAACAGCCATCATTACAAACAGTGCATTCTGGAAATAACCCAGTATGCATGCAAACCTGTTGGGGTGTTTTTTTTATTAGAATCTCAGACTCTCCTGTTCCTTTGGTCAGGGATCTGTGTGTCAGATGAAAAGGTTCAGGTGTCCCAGGACATTAGTGTGGATATACCCTTGCCTTATTCCATGGTTCGTGGAGAGCAGATTGAGCTCAGGGGTTCAGTCTACAATCAGCGTTCTTCAAAAACTCAGGTAAGCGGTTCACTTCTTATTCAGGAGGATGAGTTCAAATGATACTTTATGACCTACACTACCGTTCAAAAGTTTGGGTCAGATTTAAAAAAATAAATAAACAAATACTTTTATTCAGCACGGATGCATTAAATTGGTTAAAAAGGGACAGTAAAGACTTTTACATTGTTACAAAAGATTTCTATTTGAAATAAATGCTCTTTTGAACTTTCTTTTCATCAAAGATTCACGTATACTCAGACAGAAGTCCCATCTGTCCCCGAGCTCGGCATCGTCCCTGATTGCCCCGACCCTTCCGACTAAGCCCCTAATAACATTATCCACGCTAGTGGGAAAAGCATATACGGCAGCAGGTCAGGCTGGTGCATGTCTTCACACATCATGTCGATGTTACAGGCACACCAGGCCGACCTGTTGAGGGACCTAGACGATAGTGAGGGGGTGGGGCCTAAAAAGCAAGTGGAGACTGTCAAGCGTTACCTCCCTCGCCGTCACCAGGCCCCTGGGGCTGCTGAGCGTGAGAAGCCCCAACCGTCGAGCTCCTCATTTCGAGCGCAATATAAGGAGAGTGTCACCTCTCGTACCCCCCCTTAAAAACCATGGGTTACGTCCACACTCTCAGCCGAAGCCTTCCAAACAAAAAAAACGATCTGAGGAAAGTTCTTTTCGCGAAGAAGGCTTCGACAAAGAAGAAGTCCTGACGCCCATGGCGTCAGACTTCAGAGGGCAGCCCCCTCCGGGGTGGAGTGGTGTTCACCTTATTACAATGGTGCCCGCGCCACTTCGGTGCCCTCAGGAGGCTATTCAGCCAACCCCGCCACCATCGGTGCCTAGGGCGCAGCGTTTTCCAGCAAGCTTATGATCCAAAGTCACTACGACGCTGTGTCTGGTTCGAAAATCGGTCATTTCGGTAATTTCCTGCCAGTATGCTTCAGGTCACCAAAGTGGCTACTCTACTTCACTACTCAAAATCACACAGCGGTGTCTCCGCGCCTTTGTTATATGGAGGAAACCTTGGTTCTTGTCCCAGGGTACACTCTGAGGAGCTCTTTGTCATCGAGTCACTCTCTCGACAGATGCTTCTCTCACCGGCTGGGGAGCGGTAATGGAAGGCGGTCTTCATGGCATTGAAGCACTTCCCCGACCTAAGAGGCCATCATGTGCTTGTCCATACAGATTTTATCTGTTATCTGCATCTCAGGATACAACGCACTGTCCACTGTGGTTCCCTATCATACGACATACTTCGTGACCGACAAATAGGAATCTCGCTAGAGAGGCCAATTTACTTCGAGTGAAACTAAACGAGCCAATGCACATTGGCGTGCAATCATTTGTATCAGCTGCTCAGCCACGCAGTGTGGGTATATAATGAGCAGCAGGTGTGATTGCACTTCGGCATTGAACATGAGGTAGCGTTCATGGATGAGTCATGTACCCATTCTGGGAAGATGACCATCTCGGAGCTTCGGTCGAGACTCTCCTTCCTGCAAAGGAGTGGAGTCCCCACGCCTCTGCCACAATCTAATCTTCCTCAGAGGGTTACTTAAGGCATCCAAGCATCCAAGCCGCCTCCTGCACCTCCTGCCCCGTGGAACCAGGTAAGTGTTACACAGCACACTCAGACCCCGCTACGGGTCGCCTCCCAGAGAGAGCCTCCCGAGCCGCGTCCCTGCATTCCACCTCACTGCGGGTATGCCTACAGTCCCGTTGGTCCCGCTTGTACGGTCTCTGCAAGCCTGGTTAGCGCTACCCAGTCTGTCTCGCTGGCTCATTCGGACCATCAGGCTCGGCTATGTGATTCAGTTCCCCCAGTGTCCCCCCAAGTTTCAGGCCATCCACTCCACTACAGTGAGAGCAGCCGTTGCCCATGTCTTGTGGGCGGAGATCGCAGTCCTACTGGCGAAGGACGCAATAGAGCCGGTCCCTCCAGCCGATATGAGGTCAGGGTACTACAGTCCTTACTTCATTGTACCCAAGAAAGGCGGTGGGTTACGACCGATCTTGGATCTGCGAGTTTTGAATCGAGTCTCCACAAGCTACCGTTCAAAATGCTCACGCAGAAACGCATTTTCTAATACATCCGCCCCCGAAATTGGATTGCAGCGATCAACCTGAAGGACGCGTACTTTCATGTCTCGATTCTTCCTCGACACAGGCCGTTTCTGCACTTTGCGTTCGAGGATTGAGCATATCAGTACAAGGTCCTGCCCTTCGGGCTGTCCCTGTCTCCCTGTGTCTTCACGAAAGTCAGGGCGAAAGTCAGAGAGAACAGGGCGTTTGCATCCTCAACTATCTCGACGACTGGTTCATACTAGCACACTCTCTGGATCAGTTATGCAAACACAGGGACCTCATGCTCAGGCACCCCAGCCAGTTGGAACAGAGCCATGAGAGAACAGGGTGTCCATATGAGACCGCTTCAGCACTGGTTTCACGGCCGAGTCCCGAGATGGGCGTGGCATCACGGCACTCACCGGGTGACAACCACACCGGCCTGCAGCCAGACCTTCAGCCTGTGGTCAGACCCCTCGTTCCTCGAACAGGTGTCCAGGCATGCTGTGGTGTTCACAGATGCCTCTGCCACCAGCTGGGGTGCCACGTACTACGGGGTGTCAGGATTGTGGACGGGCCCCCAACTGCCTTGGCACATCAACTGCCTCAAGTTACTAGCAGTACGTCTCGCTCTGAGCCGCTTAAAAAGGCCGCTACAAGGCAGGGACGTGCTGGTCCATACGGACAACACTGTGACTGTTGCGCACATCAACCGACAAGGTGGTATACTCTCCCGTCGCATGTCGCAACTTGTTCGCCATCTCCTCCTCTGGAGTCAGAAGCACCTGAGGTCGCTTCGCGCCATGTATGTCTCCAGTGTGCTCAACTGTGTGGGCGACGAGCTGTCATGAGCTGTGCTCCCGGGAAAATGGTGACTCCACCTGCAGGCGGTTCAGCTGATCTGGAGAGAGTTCGTGGTGGCTCAGGTAGACCTGTTTGCCTCCTCAGAGACCTCCCACGGCCAGCTGTTTTACTCCATGACCGAGGGAACACTCTGCACGGACGCACTGGCACACAGCTGGCCCCGGGGCCTCCGCAAATATGCGTTTCCCCCAGTGAGCCTAGTTGCACAGACCCTGTGCAATGTCAGGGAGGACGAGGAGCAGGTCCTTCTGGTGGCTCCCTATTGGCCCACCCGGACCAGGTTCCCAGAACTCATGCTCCTCGTGACAGTCCCTCTCTGGCCCATTCCTCTGAGGAAGGACCTTCTGACTCAGAGATGGGGCAGCTTAATGGCACCCGCGTCCAGACCTCTGGAAACTCCATGTGTGGTCCCTGGACGGGACGCGGAGATTCTAGGTGACTCACCCCCAGAGGTACTTAACACCATCACTTCTGCACGGGCGCCGTCCACGAGACGTGTGTACACCTTGAAGTGGAACCTGTTCGTCGAGTGGTGTTCTTCTCGCAGAGAGGACCCCCGAAGATGTTCAACCGGCTTTCCTTCTTGCAGCAAGGGTTGGAGCAAAGGCTGTCTCCCTCCACCCTCAAAGGACATGCTGCCACTCCAGGATGGTCCCTTTGAGCCTTTGCAATCAGCAGACTTAAAGCTTTCTCTCCATGAAGACTTCACTGCTGGTTGCACTTAGGGGTGGGAATCTCTAGGCACCTCACGATTCGATTCGATTACGATTCAGAGGGCTGCGATTCGATGCCAAAGCGATTATCGATTATCTGAATCTTTTTTGTGTGTGTGTGTGACTATAAATACTTTGCGTTAAAAGTACCAAGTAATGACCCATAAAGAATTAACGTACAATATACAGGTCCTTCTAAAAAAATTAGCATATTGTGATACAGTTAATTATTTTCCACAAAGTAATGATACAAATTAAACTTTCATATATTTTAGATTCATTGTACACCAACTGAAATATTTCAGGTCTTTTATTGGTTTAATACTGATGATTTTGGCATACAGCTCATGAAAACCCAAAATTCCTATCTCAAAAAATTAGCATTATCATGAAAAGGGTCTCTAAACGAGCTATTAACCTAATCATCTGAATCAACTAATTAACTCTAAACACCTGCAAAAGATTCCTGAGGCCTTTAAAAACTCCCAGCCTGTTTCATTACTCAAAACCGCAATCATGGGTAAGACTGCTGACCTGACTGCTGTCCAGAAGGCCATCATTGACACCCTCAAGCAAGAGCTTTAACCTTTAACCCCCCCTTTTGTTTTGTAGAAAGCCTTTCTTTAAATTAAATTTCGTTTTGTATAAATTGTATCTTAATTTTAATCACTGTTTCATTAACTAATTGCCTGGAATTATACAAATATAGCAGACATATAATCAGGACGATGTGGAAGCGACGGTGCGATCTCTTGCGTGTGAACTGGAGCTCGTCTCATATAAATGAACCGAAACTCGTGCGCCCATCGGAGACGGAATTCACTGCTGATATTCTGAGGATACAACATAGCCAATAGGCTATACTAGGGACTTTAGCCTTTAAATATCTTTGCTGCATGCACAGTCTCCTTTCTAGAACAGCCAAGAGCTTTTTAGCCTTGCATCGCTCACGGACCTTAAAACTGATCAAAAAACGAAAATTGATAAAAAAACGTTGGTGCGGATGGATGGCGGACAGATGATGATTTTTGTGCTGCGGTTCCGTTGCGGATGAAATAACAATAGCCCATCCGCGCATCTCTAATAGAATGTAATGCTATGTGTCATGGAACATTGGGCTCCCCAACTCGCGAAAGGGATTTGCTCCATCTTTTGATAAGTTTTGTTTAGAAAACCTTGAATCCATGTAAGACACACTATCATTAGAAATAATCCATGTCATCATTAGAATCAATGAATCCATATCAGTAGACACAACGTGCACACATGTGCAGGCCATTGTTTTTTTTGTTTTTGTTTTTTTGCGGTGATGACGGTGACGAGCTCAGGCCCGCGGTTGGAGTCACGTGACCGCGGTATTGCGGTAATGCGGTAACCGTCCCAGCCCTAGCTGCTGGTGTTGGTCCACTGTGTTTTATTAAGGGCAGGGACAATGCAGCTAGCTATCAGGAGATTTTGGAGCACTTCATGCTTCCATCTGCTGAAAAGCTTTATGGAGATGAAGATTTCATTTTTCAGCACCTGCTCACAGTGCCAAAACCACTGGTAAATTGTTTACTGACCATGGTATTACTGTGCTCAATTGGCCTGCCAACTCTCCTAACCTGAACACCATAGAGAATCTGTGGGATATTGTGAAGACAAAGTTGAGAGACGCAAGACCCAACACTCTGGATGAGCTTAAGGCTGCAATCGAAGCATCCTGGGCCTCCATAACACCTCAGCAGTGCCACAGGCTGATTGCCTCCATGCCACGCCGCATTGAAGCAGTCATTTCTGCAAAAGGATTCCCGACCAAGTATTGAGTGCATAACTGAACATAATTATTTGAAGGTTGACTTTTTTTTTTTGTATTGGAAACACTTCTTTTATTGGTCGGATGAAATATGCTAATTTTTTTAGATAGGAATTTTGGGTTTTAATGAGCTGTATGCCAAAATCATCAGTATTAAAACAATAAAAGACCTGAAATATTTCAGTTGGTGTGCAATGAATCTAAAGTATATGAAAGTTTAATTTTTATCATTACATTATGGAAAATAATGAACTTTATCACAATATGCTAATTTTTTGAGACGGACCTGTATTTTATTAACATTGCAAAGAACCAACAGGAAAATAAATGTGTGCCTGAACTAGCAGCTTACTTGTAGTAAATTAATAATATAACAACGACCGGTATAGCCGAGTGTTTTTCCTTCTCTGGGTGGAAACGAGTCAAATGGCTTCTCATATTGTCGTGTTTCCGACAAACATTTTAGTTTTATTCTACAAAGCTTACAAATAGTGTGGCTCTTGTCCAGCTCCTTTCCCCCTTCAACTTCATAGAAGCCAAAATATTTCCACAAGTCAGCTTCTAACGAGGAAGGTGTTTGGATTTCGCGCTCAGCCATCGCGTCTCTGTTATGTGCACGCCACAGATGGTCCGGGCACTGCACTTCCGTGCTTCAGAGTTCCGTATTTTGCGTTTCCGTCAATATTATGTTATTATAAATGTCATTAAAAAATTTTTTTTTTTTTTTTGAAAATCGTTTTTTGACATTTGTGAATCGATTCAGAATCGTCCACGTCCACATCGCGATGCATTTAAGAATCGATTTTTCCCCCCACCCCTAGTTGCACTGGCCACTGGCCTCTGTCAAGCTCTGTCAGCTCTTTGTCTGTTACGGAGGCCAGCAGAAGGGAAATGCTGTCTCCAAGCAGAGGATGGCCCACTGGATAGTGGATGCAATCGCCTTGGCTTACCAAGCACAAGGCGTGCCCTGCCCGCTCAGGTTGCATGCTTACTCCACGAGAGGCGTTGCATCCTCCTGGGCGCTGGCACATGGCTCCTCACTAACAGATATCTGTAGAGCTGCGGGCTGGGCGACACCTAACATGTTCACTAAATATTATAGCCTACGTGCAGAGCCGGTCTCCTCCCGTGTTCTCACCCTAAACGGGTAGAAGCACTGAGAGGCCCGGCTCGGTCGGCTTGCTGCACCCTACTGTGCACCCTTATTGCTCCAGAGTGAAAAACCTGTCGAGTCCTCCAACACCCTCGGCCCGGACATGGCGGAGCGTCCGGCGCCAGGCCTTTATCCGTTGAATCCTTGAGAACCGGGTCTAGGCTGGGTCCCATATGTGTGACCCTGCAGGGATCCCATATGTGTATTTCTTCCATGGCTGCTCCTAAACGGAAGCCCGTGTCTTTCATATGCAGTACAACCTTTGGGTTAGTCCATATGTATATCGCCACATAACTCCTTCGGGGAAGAATGTGGGTTCCGCAGCGCTCTCCTTCCTAACAGAAAGGGCACGCTTTCCCAGTGTTATCCAATAATCTCACTGTATGGGTTATCACGGAACAACATTGACAGATACACTCTGTGTAAGCCCTCTCATGTCAAGTCAAGTCACCTTTATTTATATAGCGCTTTTTACAATACAGATTGTATCAAAGCAGCTTCACAGTGATAACTTGAAAATAATACAACAAGTGGGTCATCGTCCACCTGAAGTAAGGCAGATCAATAATATTGTTGAATATTAAATGTCCCCAACTAAGCAAGCCAAAGGCCAAGGCAACAGTGGCAAGGAACCAAAACTTCATCAGGTGACAGAATGGAGGAAAAAAACCTTGGGTGAAACCAGGCTCAGTCGGGGGGCAGTTCTCCTATCTGACATTACAGGTCAGAAGTTAGAACATTCACAATATTTATCCAGTTCCATCTGGTTGGAGGTCAGAGTCATCACGCCGATATGGAGACGAGTTTGTTGAGGTGTCCATGAGGCCTTCATAGGGCTGATGAGGCTGGCACTTAAGGGATGCGTTGTGGTCATGTCCAGGCGCAGGTTCACCGTCTGATCTGGATACGGCCTGGATCCGGCTGACTTCAGTAAACCTCGGAAGAAATGGAAAGACTAACATTAGCGTAGATGCCATTCTGCTAATGATGTAACGAGTACATCAGGTGTTGTAGGAAGTGTCCCTGGTTCCGGCTGACCTAATCTATGCAGCCTAATAATCATTTAACTGATTTGAATAATAGAAATGTATAATGTTCTATGTGAATGCCAGGTAAAAGAGATGTGTTTTTAGTCTAGATTTAAACTGACAGAGTGTGTCTGCTTCCCGGACAATGTTAGGGAGACTGTTCCAAAGTTTAGGTGCTAAATAGGAAAATGATCTACCGCCAGCAGTTGATTTTGATTTTCTAGGTATTATCAATTTGAGATCGCAATAGACGTGAAGGACTATAATGCGTTAAGAGCTCGCTCAAGTACTGGGGAGCTAAACCGTTTAGTGCTTTGTAGATGGTCAGCAATATTTTAAAATTTATACGATGTTTAATAGGGAGCCAATGCTGTGTTGACAGAACCGGGCTAATATGGTCATACTTCCTGGTTCTAGTGAGAACTCTAGCTGCTGCGTTTTGGACCAGCTGTAGTTTGTTTATTAAGCGTGCAGGGCAACCACCCAGTATAGAGCATTACAATAATCTAGCCTTGAGGTCATGAACGGATGAACTAACTGTTCCGTATTTTTCATTGAAAGCTTATGTCATAATTTAGATATATTTTTAAGATGAAAGAATGCGGTTTTACAGATGCTAGAAACGTGACTTTCAAATGAAAGATTGGTATCAAAGAGCACACCCAGGTTCCTAACCGACGATGAAGACTTGACAGAGCAGCCAGTATTAGACAGTATAATACTGCCAAAGCAAATTTGTGTCCCGCCAAAGCTTTTATTGATCGGCGAGTGATGTAGAATAGAATGACTGCTGCGCTTGACAGGGCGCATAACGAGCAGAGCTTGACAGGGCGCATAACGAGCAGAGAGAGAGAGAGAGAGAGAGAGCGCCCCGGCCGCGCACACTCTCACGTCTTCAAACAAAACGAGCGCTGTCTTGCTCTCTCTCCCTCGCGCATATTAATCAAAATCAATTGACACGATAGTAAAAGGTCGGAAGACCGCAGTTTCACGTGGAGCATTTGGAGATTTTTACACTCAATGAACAACATCTCAACACTAAATTATAAAGGCCGGTCTCATATAGACGCCTGTCTCAAATTCAAGCCGGTGCAGTTCGACGATTATATAAACCCGGGCTATAATTTTAAGTTTTACGGTATATTAAAATAGAAAACATTTTAAATTGTAATAATATTTCACAATATTACTGTTTTACTGTACCCTGACTTCGTCATACTCATATTCTAGTCAGAATGTGAGTCTGATACTGCTCCATAGGGCTTTGATTATGAGGCGTGTCTTAACCGAACCAGGGAAAAAAAAACTCTGCACTCAATTGGATAGACCTACAACCAATCAGAGCAACGCAGTAAGTCAGCTACATAGTTGCATAGCATAGTTTCAACAGAACTCAACTGCATGCACACTGGAAGTAGTAAAATAATGAGTGTTGCTTCTTTTACTTGGTCCTCCATGAGTGCAAGTGTGCGACCAAAGGAGAAACCACAACGACCACAGGGTTTTCATTGCGTCCCATCTTCTTAGCGACCATCGGAGCCAGCTGATAAAATAAACTTTTGCCGAATCCCGTACGAAGGACGGCAAACACATCTTTCCGATCGACAAATGCCTTGATTGCAGTTCTCTGTTCGTCTTTTAAAATTAATGAGCTGTCGATTTCTTTTACAACAGATGCAATAGCGGAATCTATACATCTCAATTCTCCAGCTGCAGTCATCTCTGAGGGAAACCAGTTCAACCCAAGCGCTCGTTGATAACGCGATGATTACGTAACTGCAGATCATCTGTCCATCATCGTATAAAGCCCGCCCTGGCAATTTGATTGGCCCGACTAATTCTGAACCGATCATAATTACTCCTCAATGGACTCCTCAAACTTCCCGACCAAAAAATGTTGTGGGCGGGGTTCGGGCTGGCATCCAGGCTAGTTTTACTGCATTTTTTATCAAATAAATGTAGTCTTGGTGAGCGTAAGAGACTTCTTTCAAAAGTATTAAAAAATCTGACCGACCCCAGACTTCTGAACAATGGTGTATATATTTATGTGACATTATGGTGATAAACTCATTACAGTTTTCTTTCTCTCTGTATCTTTTTATATCTCACACATACATGAATAGTTCATTGTGACCCTGACGGCAACAGAGGGAGTGTGTGTGTTTCGTGGAACTCAACAGGGGAAACGTGGAAAGCCAAATGAAAACAAAGGGCATATCCAAGCCCGGTCAGTGGCTTTGGTCACGTTCTACATCATGGCCTTGGAAGCGGGCACTCATACGCTCACTTTCACTTTAACAACTGAGTGGGGGACTGAGAGTGTGGTCAAGAAATTGAAAGTGGTGGTAAGAGGCAATATGCAGTCAGTCCTATAGGACTGTATCTTTGTAACACTTTGTTCCCTTCTTTCTAAAGATGTACAAACTACATTTTTAATATAGAAGGAAGTTTTGAAAGTTACAGTGTGTTTTTATTGTACACCGAAGTCTTTTATTTTAAAAGAGTACAGTATAGATTCCTCATGATATTTTTGCTTAAAACTTGTGTTTATTGAGAACTAAACCAGTTTCAGTTTAGTATGCCTGAGATTATGATCTGACTAACTAATGTTCTGGTACTTCACAGCCAGAGGGAATTAGAAACGAAATACAAAGTGGTGGAAGAATAGATCCAAATGGAGTCTTTGGTAAGGACATCTGAAGAGTATAAGCATGCTCTCTGCTCGTGTGCGGGAGTTTCACGCCATTTCTTTTTCCCTTCTTAGGCACTTCTATGCGAAAACTTGAATTAAAAAATGTCATTCCACCAAACATTGTGCCCAAGTCAACTGTGGATCGTATTCTAACAGTTAATGGTATGATGCCTGTGAAGCTTGAACACATTTGTGCAGATGCTAAATGACACCTTCTACACAGTCACATTTTTTTAACTATATCAGATTTGTGCGATAGTGTTTCTTTTATAAACTGCATAGATTAAAATTGATTATACTGGAGGTTCCAGAGGCCCTATGTATTTTTATAGTGAGGAAATGTTGCCAAGTCACAATTTTGTAACTTGTTTTTCTTGTTCAGGTGAAGTACTGGGAGAGCTTTTGTCAATAATAAATAACCCAGAAGGTTTAAAACAGTTGACTAACCTGCCAAGGGGAAATGCAGAGATGGAGCTCATGAGTCTCCTACCGATCTACTATGTCTACCACTTCCTAGACAAGACAGAGAAATGGGACATTTTGGGGAAAGAGTCAGCAGCAAGTGAAAAGGAATTAAAACGGAAAATGCAAGCTGGTGGGATGTTTGTTTCAGTACAGTAGAATATTTTTTTCCCCCTTACATTTCTTGTATATCATGTTCTTTTTAGGGGTTCAAGGCCGTAGCGCTGAAACCCTGTTGTAATGGTTAGAATTTCCAAGGATCAGCATTCTCCACTATAAGTGATTGGACAGACCAAACCATAAGTTGTACAGACTTTATACTTTGAGGGATGGTAGAACCAAGCCCCCATCTACAACGTTACCAAGGCTCGCCCCAATCGGCCTGATGGTGACACTACAGCGATCAAAAGAATGTAATGGCTCATAACTCAAACCATTCATCGCAGGCTCAAGTGACTTATGTTGGAATCCTTGGCTCAAGACAAACAAAACACACATCTCGGATTCAATCTTTACCATGCACAATTGTTGGGGATTTAAAAAAAAAAAAACTACTTTCGGGAAATAGTCCTAGGTTTTTCACCCGATCAGAACCAAACCAGTGGAGAAATATTCTCTGGAATCTGACTGTCAATAATTATTAAAAAAGTAAAAATTTCGATTGACCTCTGTGGCGGGATGCCAATCTTGTACTAGTACTTGTACTAAAATGATTATCCCTCTTGAACGATGGAGATAATTTCACCAAACTCTGTACACCTATGAATGGGCTCAGTCTGTGGTCGCGTTGAAAAGTACTGCCCACTTGGTGGTGCTTTAAATAAATAAAAATACAAAAGGCTATAGCTACGCAACAGACAGTCCGATTGACTTGAAAACTGGTGGGTGGTGTCTAGGTGCCGCAATTGTTTACAAGGACATTCAAATATCTCGAAAAACATGGCCGCCATCGGCCAATGAAGTTCGAGCAGCTGTTAGATAAGGTTAATGGAGGCCGATCGGAAGGAAACTCGCTGAGCTTGTTTGACTCACGGCCCGAGAGGCCTGTGAGGGTGCCTTCACGTTTTTTCACGTGCGTAAAGGATTGTATATCATACGATTTTTCATACATGCCCACAACTTTTATACCATATGTTACAACTCATTCTGAGCAACTTTGCCTCTAGGACCACCGCTGCCAATCGAACCCTTCATTAAATATTGGAGATTGTTTAAAAAAAAACTACTTTCACGAACTAGTGCTTGGTTTTTGGCTCAACCTCGATAACTGTTAAAAATTTAAAACATATATTTTCTCAGTAAATTGGCTGCAACCACTAGGTGGTTACATGCTTGATAAATAAAACATAATAACTTTTTAAGCATGTGCTTGAAGATAACTTTTTACGCATGTGTAAGTCCTTAAAGCACTTGAACCCCCGTTAATTGCTGCTTGCTGCTATATTTTCATTATTTATTTTGTTTAAAAAAAAAATTGTATACTCTGTCTCCATATAATAGTAACAAAAATTTTATGATAATTTCCATAAATTTTTGTTTTTTACTTGCTTGTCTTATACAAAAGTAACTATATCAGTTATTGCCAGTACAATTAACTATAATTAACTATTAAGTGATTTAATGACTCACTGTTTCTTTCCAGGCATCACCAGCATGATGTCATATAAGCTGAAGTATGAACATGGTTTCAGCATGTGGTCGAACAAGGACAAATCACCTAGTACCTGGTAAACAACTGCTCAATTTTTGTAGGCCTATGCCATATTTTTTCCTCAGTGGTAGCTGAAACGAAGCATTGTCTAATTGTTATTTTACAAATGTTTTACATAGAAATCAATACATATAGAACTTATACATTTTACGTGCTACTAACATTCTACTGGAGGTGTAATGTTGTAAAAACTTCTTTAGGGTGACGGCTCTTATAGTCAAGACTTTTGCTGACATGCATGAATATGTCTCTTTGGAGTCTGAAGTGCTGATCAACGGCATTTACTGGCTGATTAAAAATCGTCAGAATCGTGATGGCTCGTTCTTTGAGAAATCACAAAACAATCCACTTAAACTCATGGTATGTGACGAAAATAAGTGTTCATGATATCATACTGTATATTTCAGTGTTTTGATCAAGATTGTCTTGTTTTTTTAAAGGGTGCCGGAGCAGATGTCACTGAAAAGACAGTCTTCCTCACTTCTTTTGTCATGATTGGAATTAAAAATGCTCTGAAGGTCCCAAATGTTAACATACTGGTACGACTGTCAGTAAATTCTGACCAATTTGAAACCTAAATGTAGGATTGTTCCTCATTCAGTCAGTGACTAACAGCACAATTGTCTCTCTAGGCCTTTAAAAATGCTTTAGATCATGCCACGGAGTACCTCTCCTCTAAGTCAAAGAAGATTGAAAGTTTATATGTTAGAGCCATTGCATCCTATGCTCTGACACTGGTAGACATCAATAGTATGCCGGCAATCGGCCTTTATGAAAAAATCAAACAGCAGGCTCAAGTTAAAGGTAAAATCTTATTTGGAACATTCCACACACTTTTGACCAAAAAAACAAATCAGCACAGATTAAACCCTCTCATATTTGACCAATAACTTAATACCAACAATTTGTCTGTACATCTAACATTTTCAGGGAACCCAGCCACAATTCGTTTCTGGGAAGACTCTAAATATAACAAGGATTCATTAAAACCCAGTGGTGCGACATCAAAGACCGTGGAAACAACAGTTTATGTCCTGCTTAACTCTTTAGTCAGAGGTGATTCCACCTATGCAAAGCCAATCCTGAACTGGTTAACACAAGACCAGAGATACGGAGGGGGCATTTTCTCAACACAGGTACTCAATGCAATATATATATATACAGTCTCTTAATCTTTTAATGTTGTCTTTATCATATGTGATCTTACTTTCCTAAAATTTTCAGGACAGCATTCTCACTTTGGAGGCCCTTACCAAGTATAGCCTCTTAGCCAGTCAAGCCACCTTAGACATGGTGGTTGACATTGAATACAAGACTAAAGGTGACATCAGCAGAATCAAACTAACTCAGCAAAAGCCTGTGGCTAAACCAATAGCGGTAAGACGCTCTTTTTTTATGATGTTAACTTAATTATTATGGGTAAAGTTTTCATTTTAAATTATATATAAATGCTACTCTTCTGTTTTCTTTGAAAAGGTGATTAAAAATGATGATATAATAATCAAAACAGCAATGAGCTCTGGTGTTTCATTTGCCAAAGTAAGTGAGCTTATATTTAACAAAGGAATATCAGTATCAGTTATTGGTTGATATTACTAATACTGTATATATCAAAATTGGATATTTATTTGTCCACACTCATTTTCATCTATTTTTACATTTAAACTACCTCTGCTATCTTCTAGTGATCACTTAAAATGAATCTGTTTTTTTTTTATACTTGTCTAGTTACATAGTGTAATGATTCAAAATGTACTCAAATGTATTATTTAAAAGTATTGATTTAATTTTTAGTGTTTTTATTTGATTTTGCAAAATAGTATTGTAGAATTTTAATATATGCCATTGATCAGTACCGACCAGATTAAAAACCACAAAGGTAACACTTTACAAAACGGGTGCACTAATAAGCATTAATTCATGCTTAACTAATGCACAGATAATACTGAATTAATGTGTAACTAATGATTATCTAAGCTATTAATTAATGATTACCACATTAGGAACTAATTAAGAGTCTGTATGGTTAATGTATTAGTTCATAAATGAATTGTTATTGATTAAATATGTAATTGTGAATTAATTCCCTAATAACTCATTTTTTTAACTAATAGTGTTAATTAATATGTTAATTACCAGAATGAGCCAAAGCCTTGTATTTCAACTTCCAGATAATACAGGTACACTAATATGCATTAATACATGATTAATTACTTCATTGTTAGTGCAAATTCATGTGCAAATTACTACAATTACTAAATGACTAGTTAATAATGATGTGCCTCAATAAGTAAAGTCATAACATAGTGATACCTTTGCAAGTCATTAGCTAATGATTAATTAAAGCAGACAACTGGAAGTTGAAATGCATAGCTTTGACTAATTGTGGTAATTAACACATTCATTTACACTATTAGTTAATAAAATATGTTATAAAGGAATTAATACACAATGACACATTGAATTAATAGCAATTCATGTATTACTTAATCCATTAATAGACTCTTTATTAGTTGCTGATGCAGTAATCATGAATTAATGGTTTAGTTCTTCATGAATCATACATTAACTCATGATTATCTATACATTAGTTAAACATGAATTAATGCATATTAGTGCACCCGTATTGTAAAGTGTGACCAACACGAACAAAACAAAATCATCCTTTTTTAAACAATCATTCTGGATGGTCATTTTCAGTGTATTTGATAAACACTACAATAATCTAGACTTATATATATATATATATATATAAATTCTATGCATGAAACCAACTGTATTTATTGATTAACCAAATTTTTGACAGCTGAGAACAGTTTACTATGGGATGACAGAGAGCAATGGAAATTGCCAATTTAATATATCAATTGACATTCATGACCGTGTCCCATATTCAGATGGTACGTTCTGTAATTTTTTCTACTTTTATACACTCGTTATCTTTTAAAATGAACTTGGTGCAGCTAATTTGATTTCTTTGTGAGCAGATCCTATGCTTTTGTCACAGCGGATTGTGGCCTGTGCAAAGTAAGTCTGTAGAAACTCCTGATAAGAAGATACAGGTTTTAAGTGTGTGTGTAAATTTCTGATTTGCATTTAAAACGTATTAAAAAAATCCATTATGTGTAAAGATACAAACCACATGAAAATGCGATTGAAACTGAGTCAGGACTCACTGTGATGGAAATTAATTTGCCGACTGGTGTGATCCCAGTCCAGGAAGATTTAGATATGGTGAGACACTAAATGCAAATACATTTCCATAGAAAACATTCAGAGTTTCAGAAAATTGTAGTGACATTTTATGTTTCTAAATTTTGCAGTATCAAAATGGACTTGAGTCTCAGCTTTCCAACTATGAAATATTGGGTGACAAAGTCATCCTTCAAATAGATTCGGTGAGCATTGCTTGACAAAACAAACTTTCTTCAAAGGTTTGCATTAAAATATGGTGTGTATTTCATCTTGAAGAATATTTTTAACCATACAATACTTATCCTGCAGATACCATCAGAAGATTTCTACTGTGTGGGTTTCCGTATTCAAGAGGAATTTGAAACTGGCATGAGCAGATCCTCGGTATTCAGAGTTTATGAATTTAATGATCAAGGTATAGCACAAATGTTTCCCCAAATGTTTGATTTATATCTGGCTGAACTTATTTTAGCTACATAAAACAAGCTTTCTCTACTCATTTTTAATAGGAAGTACTTGTATGAAGTTTTACCACAAACAAAGCCGCAAACTGTTGCGACTCTGTGAGGGAGACCAGTGTCAGTGCATGGCAGGTAAGCTGCTTAGAAGCAAAACAAAACAGAAATAAAGAAAAGAAATTACCGTAAACAGTTATTAACAAAAATCGTTTTTTACCCAGCTAATAAAGATAAGTTCAAAAAAAAATGTAGCTAATGTTCCCATTAAGTTGTTTCTGAATGTTCTCTGAACGTTCAAGATGAAAATGTTTTGCAAACATTATGGGAACAATACTTTTTTGAAAGTTCTCCAAACATTCTAAAACAAGTAGAAACATTTTTAAAAAGCGGACTAGACGGACATCCAACTATTATATTTCAGAAAAAACGCTCCATTAACGATGTATAAATAATGATTTTGTGCTAAAGTTTTGAGAACATTTTACAGACTAGATAACTTTGAATGAACGTAGGAATAATGTTTGTTCATAACTTTTAGAGTACCTTGCCAGAATGCAAGCCAAAGTTGTGAGAATGTTCCCTAGTTGGGTATACTGCTAATGCACATGACATTATCATTTACATAGGCTTACATGTGTATTGAGTTTAATGCGTCTGTGTTAGTTTAACAATTTTTTTGTATTTCCATGTCTTTTTCAAAATTAGCGGAATGCTGCAACTTTAAATCCACCATTGATCCCACAATCACTGCCGAACAGCGCAAAAATGATACGTGCAAAGAAAGCATGAAATATGGTAAATAATGATCCTCATGAAGCTTCTGGTCACATAAAAATCATTGTCACATGATCAGTGGTATACGTTTGCACAATGATGTCATTTACTGCCCCATCTTTTTTTTCTAGTATTTAAAGTGTTAATTGAATCCTCTGAGGCAAGTGGAGATTTCATGACTTACAAAGCAAAAGTCAAAGCAGTGCTAAAAAAAGGCAAGAGTATATTGAATATGTTTTGTGTCAATATATTATAAAGTTTAAGTTGTAAATGATTTAAAGTAAAAAAAAAAAAAAAAAAAAAAAAAAAAAAAAAACAAGTTGCATCACAGCTTCAATCCATAATTTCTCTTCTGCAGAACAAACGGACGACTTAAAAACAGATTCAGAGATAGATTTTGTGAAGAAGGCAACCTGCATTGAAACAAATTTCGAAGTTGGCAAGCAGTATCTGGTCATGACTTCTGAGAGTATGAAGATACGAGTGGATCATTCTTATAAGTGAGTTCTTTTTTGCTTTCTTGCTCATGTTTTAAAAAAACACATCATATAATACCGGATCAAGATTTTGGGCAAGACTATCTGCTTGTACGACCAAAAAAATTCATCATATGTAATTTTTTGCAAATTCATTATGAATTCCTAAAATCTGTTACGTAATACCTTGCATTAGTACAACACATTGTAAAGTGATAGTGTTTTACAATCATTATTTAACTATTATGTGGGCTAGTACAGAAGCCTCAGAACTGATTTTCTTTATACCATGTTTCAGGTATAAGTTTCCTTTGGACTCACATGCTTGGGTGGACTGGTGGCCACTTGAATCTGACTGCAGGAATGCTGCCTGCAAACAATACGCCACAGTGTTGGATGATTTTGAATTTGATTTCTTATTATTTGGCTGTGATAAATGATAAATTGCAATGCCAATAAAAGAGATAATCCTTATGCATGTTCTTAGTGACAATGTGTTTAGGAAATTGTTTGTTGTTATTTATGTATGTCCATACAATTATTATAATATCTTGCTAAACATTGTGAAAAACATTCTGGTTGTTTGGAAATGGAGTCTGCTTTGAGCACACAGTACTCTTATTTTGAAATAATTGCAGCTGAGTCACATGATCTAAACATCACCGCGAATCATTTGAGTTCATGGCTGGAGAATCAGACAAGAGAATGATAGCTCAGTTTAAACCTTTAGAAACGCATGAACTATATATGACACCTGGGACAAGAGCTAAAAGTAACAGGCTTGTATCCGCTCTGACAGTATTTAAGAGAGAATTATAATAATCTGACGGTTACTGGATGATCGCTAGGAATCCTAATAGGTCGCTATGGAAACTGGGCTAACAAAAATGGACGAGTCTTCACAAAACAGTGAGTGGCCATGCAGTTAAATATAAAACTTATTTTTAATATATATTTAAACATTTTTTATGTCAGTAGATGACTTTCGTTCTTTCATTTAGTTAGTTTTGGTCTGCATTGTAAGTTTTTAACATAAAGCAGAAGAAACTACCAGCAGTTAGGTCTTAGCAGTCGACTTGATTTAGGTAGGAGTAGCATCGTAATCGCTGGCTTCCTCAGATAAAATTAATTAATAAATACCCCCACGATAATAAAATGAAAAGACTCGCATGCAAGATGCGCAAACAATCACCAACAACAGGATCCAAATGTTCTAAGAGCCTCCAGAGCAAATCTGTGACCCCCAACGCCATCTCACGGTCGGAGAGGGATGGAGGTCCTAGAGAAGATCTTAACGATGATGGTAAATCTCAGTCTCTTATTGTTTAGATACTAACGTTACATGTCCTACAGTACAGGTGTCTCTCTCATCTGATATGTCCCTTTGAGGTCTTAAGGTCATTTCTCCAAATTCATTCAACAACTGGATATTTCTTTAACTTTGGGCACTTAATCTAAAACTAAAAATCCATCCAAAGTGTAAATTATTTAGTGTTTAAAACTACGATGACTAAGAGTGAAATAAGCATAAATCATCCTAGCTAATTTATATGTCACTTGAGTAAACTGCAACGTAATCTGGTGACCAAACTTTCGTCCTGAACTGGGTTGTGGCGAAATTCAACTCCCTGCCAAATTATTACCCACCTCGTTGAAGTCGCTACCTGATTGCCTAATCAAAAGTGAAAGCGCTACATCAACCCACGAAGTGACCCTTCACAAAATGTAATGCTTTAATGACGCCTTTACAACATTTCAAATCCCTCAGTTCTCGCCATCTCTGAAAACTAAGCCAATGTTGGTTCTTGTTTTATTACCTCCTACCTGGGACCTCCTGGTTAAATAAATCTCTTTTTGCCAGCCGACTCTCCTCTATTCTGCATTTTTCTTTTCTTTTCTTTATTAAAAAAAAGCGTGATTCTCAGAGGTTCGAGATTCTGCATGCTCAATGGCCGCGTTTCCATTACCCTTCAAATTGCGCAAATTGAAATTGCGAATTGAAAATACGCACAATGGAAACACATCAATTCAAAAATGTTTTACGCTGTCAACCTTTCTCGCTTGTTGTGACAACTAACCTATGCCACTCCCATACCATACATGTCAAAGTAGCCGGAGAAACTTTTCTCTATTTATGGAAATGACAAGATTCGCACGGACGAGTGACCTGATGCAATTTCCCGCGAAAACCCCCTTGCCCAATCTAAAATAGGCTTACCATAGTGAATCAGGGTAAGACAAATACACGCTTTGAAAGAAGGATTTATAATGGATTTGGATCATTATTGACTACATTTTGTTAATTTTGAACAAAAAAGTTACACGCTGTGCCTTTAAAAACAAATTATTCGAGATGTAATTGAAATGATACGGGGGTGAAAATATCCCTGACTTTTAAAAATTGCCAGAATAATCATGTAAGCCCCCTATTGGACTTTAGTCCAGTCATTTTAAGCCAAAATGGGGGTCAACCTTGAACAAATTGCAACAGAAGCAAACTCAACTGATTTTGTATCCTCAATATGTCCTGAGTAAGGAAAAAAAAGCCCCGAAGAATCCCATTAGGGGAAAGTTTAGAAAAAGACCCAAATATATCCCATTCATACGCCTATTCATTCTTTTTCTCACGTGAAAAGGGTAAAAATTGTAACCTTTAGATATCATCATGAAAATCACTGAGTTGAGTACTTACATCAAGACAAACAAAAAATGTATTACAAGTTTTTTTGCAATTGTTTGTTAACATGGACAAATGGTGCATAATCTAATTACATATGTGCTAATTTGCATAAATACCCAAACAGATCTAAACATTGGGTATATAGCAGGTGAAAATGTCTTGTAGAATTTTGTTGACATATAACAGTAAACTATTTAATATTAATACCCCATCTCTGCAATAATAATTAATAAAGGCTGGTTTCTGGTACTTCTTCCTGTATTAATGTTCATGGGTAGCCTAAATGGGTTCCATTCAGACCTTAACATTAAGTCTTTTACTGTTATATGTCAACAAGATTCAAAAAAACATTTTCACCTGCTATACCCAATGTTTAAATCTGTTTGGGTAATTATGCAAATTAGCTAATACGTAATTATATTATGCACCGTTTGTCCATGTTAACAAACAATTTAAAAAAACTTGTTATACATTTTTTGTTTGTCTTGATGAAAATCAACTCAGTGATTTTCATGATGATATCTAAAGGTTAAAATTTTTACCCTTTTCACGTGAGAAAAAGAATGAATAGGCATATGAATGGGATATATTTGGGTCTTTTTCGAAACGTTCCCCTAATGGGATTCTTTTGGGCTTTTTTTTCCCTTACTCAGGACATATTGAGGATACAAAATCAGTTAAGTTTGCTTCTGTTGCAATTTGTTCAACCTTTTTTCATAAAATGACTGGACTACTTGGTTAGCAGAAAAATTAAACTAGTAAGATTGTGACCAATGTTTATTAAGAAAGAGTTTATTTTTTAAGTCCAGAGTGTGAAAAGTTAAAAAAAAAACATCTAATGCATTTAAGCGTTTTGTAATAGCACAATGATGAATAATTTCCCTTACTTGAACTGAACTTGCAACCATATTTCAGCTTCTCAGATCATTAATTACTTTGCTGCTACCAGTATTTGTAAATATTTGCACTCCATAGTGTGTTATTCATTTATACAAATATCTGCCCTTAGACAAAAGTATATATAAGGGGAAGGGGACAAGATACATCACAGAAGACCTGATTAGGAGAATAACTAAATGTGAAAATTTAGTCCTTGTGCAGACTCTAGATCTGTCTACATCTACGGGACATGACAAACAATTTAGGGTAAGATTTGGAAATTATTTGGTTAATGCTCAGTATGATTGGTAAAGTTTATTGTTGCATTTTGCATTCATTTGTATTGACTTCTGTGTGTTCATGTTTTTTTTTAGTATATTGAAAATTTGGACAAGTGTGAGCGCCTGCAGGTTCTCAGCCTCAGTAACAACAGGATTGAGAAAATTGAGAAACTAGAGAAATTATGTCACCTACGGGAGCTCCACCTTTCCAGTAACAGCATACAGTAAGAGAATGTGACATTTGTCTACTTGACAACAAACATTCCCTGTGGTGGCACCACATAACCATTTTTTTTTAATTGTTTTCATAGTGTTATAACAGAATAAAATATAGAATATTATTAAAGCCAGTAAAAGTTTTAAAATATAATTTATAATTTATATTTGAATTATGTACAGAAAAATTGAAGGTCTAGAGCACATGACGAACCTTCAGGTTCTAAATTTGGCCTTCAACAACATTGAACATCTTCCGGTATGGATGGCAAAGAAGCTCAGATCCCTTCAGATCATAAACCTACACAGCAACAAGATATTCTCTGTAGGTACAATTTATCTGGGTTTTTCAATCTCAGCCTTTGCTTATATTTGTTTATCATGTGTTTAAAACGGCCAATCAAGTTCAACAGAAAAAAAGAAAAAAAAACATTAAAGGGATAGTTTACCCAAAAATGAAACTTTTTCATTGTTTTTCTCACCCTCATGTCGTTCAAAACCTGTATTTTTGTCCAAACAATGAAAAACAAAGGCCAAAGGGAACCAATACTGTTTGGTTACATTCTCCAAAATATATTCTTCAGCAGATAAAAGAAAGTCAAACAGGTTTGGAACAACATCAGGGAAAGTAATAATGACTGAATTGTCATTATACCTTTAATGTCATACTTAACTGTGTTAAAAGAGAATTACTCATACTCAGTTTTTGCAATGCACAATTGTGTTACTTACAACATTCTCAACCTTTGTGATCTAGCTTCATGAGATGGCTAAACTAAAGCCTCTGAAGAACCTGACGAATCTGACATTAGCAGAAAACCCTATCTCCAGCCTGCCCCATTATCACCTCTTCTTAATCTTTCATCTGAGGTCACTGGAAATACTGGATGGACAACCAGTCAGTCCACAGGATAGAGAGCAAGCACATCAACGCTTTCATATGGGTACACCATCTCATCTTCTACATTTATCTTATCTTCATATGTGCTGTTATAATATGAGCCCCTTTGTGCTGTTCTTATAGAGGAAGTGGAGCGTTTGGAGCAGGAGTTGGAGTTGAGAGTTGAGGAGACTGCACAACTTCAGAGAGAGCGGGCCGCAGCACTGGAAGAGCTGGAGCGGCAGGACACAGCCAATCAAAACCTGAGGCACCAGAACCAGGAACAACAGCTGGGGCACAAGGAACTCAGGAGAGAACTGGACACCAAATCTGAAATGGTGGGTAATACAGTCTTCGCTGTCATCAAGCTCAGTGTGAATAGGGTGGAGCATTTCGCCCTCACACACAACTGTGATATCTTATGTAAAGAATATATTTTTCTTTCAGATCATTTCCTTAAGAAGCACCACCTAACAAAACCTATTTTTTAAGTCAAAATTAAATCCAAATTGACTTTTTTGAAGGGTTATTTCCCCCA